ATATATATATATATATATATATATATATATATATATATATATATATATATATACATATATATATATATTACCTCAGTGTAGTATGATAGGGCATATAATGGGACTATCGTTGTTCATATTTGTATGTACAAATCTATTTATTATTATTTGCTATAATCTGCTGCTCCTCTAAAATCACAATAAAAATATTATTATTATATTATTTTATCATTATTATTATTATTATATTATTTTATTATTATTATTATTATTATATTTTATTATTATTATTATATTATTTTACTATTGTTGTTGTATACTTGTTATTATCATTAGTGCGGAGCAGCAAAAAAAGCAACAAAAAGTGATGTAGATGGAATTTGTATTTATTTATTTATCTATCGACTTCTACTCTCTGTTTAGTTGGGGTGTATGCGTTCACTGATTTTGTTGTTTTAAAAAGAAATAAAGAAACGACGAATCAATTGGCGGTTTGTTCGTTTCTTCTTTTAAATTAAAACAAACAGAAAACAAAAAAAAATAAAAAAATAAAAAAAAAACAGCTGGGTATTCATTTATTGAGTCTGTTTGGGGTGGTTTTATTAATCTGAATATCAGAGGCCACCACCCTCCGCCTCTCATCATTTCGTTAACTTTACCTCAACTGTATAAATATAAATATAAATTAAATTAAATTAAATTAAATTAAAAATATTTTTTGTTTAAATAAATTAAAAAGAGGAGTAAACAAACTCGCTAGACGCATCAACGCCTATCCGTATATGCTGCTCGTAGATAGCTGTGAACAACCGGCGATATGAAAATAATAATTATAAACAAAATATTTAAAAAAGAAGAAAAAGAAATTATTATTTCGTTGCATTTGTCTGTGCACAGAAACCAGCAACCCTCGAAACAACACAACGCCCACGGGAGTGAAATTCATGAAATATTCAAAACAAAAAGAACTCAAAAGCAGAGCTGAAAACGGAGCAAATTATATCAGAAAGTTGAAACAAAAGAAATGAATTTAGGATGGGTTTAACAACACAAGAAAAACAGCCACAGAAGGATAAGAAACGTAGTTTTGTTTTTTGTTTGTTTCTTGATGAAGCCGCTTAGAATTGCCTTTTATGCACAAATTGCTTCAAAGTTTAAATTCCATTAACTCTATATAATTAACATTAATCAAATAATAAAAAAATATAATTCGATGATTCCTCTGGGCGTTCAGAAAGGTAGAGGAATACCCCAAAATAAAAATATTTGAAGGCAGTAATGCCCAACGACGCCTAGCTGGTTATGAGGAGACGTAAAAAGAGATACATTATAGAAATGTTAATCCTGAATTCAAATTATTTACAGCTGCCATTTCTAGAAACTTTCTAGAAACTTCCTTGAATACCGCTGCGCAAGGATTGCAGTTAACTGATGAAGTCGCTGATTTTCTCAGACTGTAAGAAAGGAATTTGATTCAACTGCTTTCTTTCTATAACTATACAACACCGCCAAATGCGGACGTCTGTGGCTGCTGTCTGCAGTGCAACATGGTATCGCTTCATTACATTACACCGAAACCTAAGAGTAAATGCGGGAAAGAAAGGCGAATACTCAACACAAACCTAACTATAACACGCATTTGCCGTTTCTTTCATCACTTTTGTCATTTTCTGTAGCAAACTTTAAACTAAAGTAGCGACCTGCTGTTGCCCGTTCGATACAGAGGGGGGGGACACAGAAGATCTATTTCGTTAGACCAGGCAGGATATAAAACGAAGGAATTGGAAAGTATCGAAAGGACAAGAAGCAGCCGAAAAATAATAAATTTGATTGTAGTATACAGTCAAAGCACAGAGCCCATATCTTATTCATCTTACGGAAGATGGTCAGGCCCCTCGGCAGCAGCCCCGTGGCGGGGCGCCACATCCTCCTGGTCCTACGCCGAGTTAAACGCAAATAATTACCTCTTTACATTTTATGCGCTTCACTTTGTGCCTTAATCCCTTCTTTCTCGAGTTTTTATGAGTGAAAACCCCCGTCCTGTGCGGTGGCGCCTGGGGCCCCAGCAGTGATTGCAATGGCATCGAAATGAGATCGGTGACTGGGAATGTTTCCACACTGGACCACATGAGTTCGAAGTTCCCTGCCCTTGACGGCCTTCATTCAGGAAAAGAGGCGCAAGCCTCACACTCAGGGGCAGCAAAGGACGGGTTTTTGTCTAGGGATGTAGTTAACCACCAGGAGAGACTCGAAAGGCGCCTGCAAGCCCAACTAAGAGATGGAAGCCGCAGCAAAAACGTTAAGCGACTCGAAGATCCCATAGCCAAACATCTTCTACGCTTAGCAGGGAACCCAGCCTACAGGTCAGAAGCCCGTGCTCGCCACTCAGCTAAGTTTCGGTGCTCCTTGCAATAGCGAGCCCACAGGCTACCCCTGTGCACACAGATTTATCATCTGCGCCTCGATGTGTCTTCCCCTCAGAAATTTGCGGCAGAGTGTCATCGTCACAGGCAGAACACTTGTCTGCGAACTCCTGAACAACTTCCCGTGCAGGCGTCTTGCCGGTCGCCGTCGAACTTTAGCAGCGATACACGCTTCTTTACCTTCGCTCAACCAATTCGTACATTCACCAACTATAACGCACAGCGGTGCTTCATCAGATGAAAAGAATAAAGAACTGCCTTCCAGCAGCACCCAGGGCCAAGGCTTTGCAAGGCCGCACCCGAGGCTGAACTCAAACGTTGAAACGCACCTTGTCAGCAACAGGATTTTGAGAAAGGTGCGCCAAGTGACCACGCTGGTAGCGTTAACCGCTTTGTTAAAGTGTACGCGAGCAACAAGCCTTCTGTCATGTGTTTAATGCAACTTTTTTTAGGTTGCCGGTCTCCACTCCTACGATGACGGCTGCGTTGCTGAGATGCGAATGCCAGAGCAAGCCAGCGATTTGGGGGATATGCGGTTGCTGCTTTGCTTGGGCAACATCCCCTTATCAATTGGGCAGACGAGAAGTGATTATATGAAGACGGCATCCATGCCTCATTCAGATTTCCTAGATTCAGGAACGGTTGGAACCTTGCTCAGGACAGCAGCCGCACTGCAGTGGCAAGGCGCTTGGATCCTGCCTTCGTGCCCAGATATTTTCAACCCACTATCAATTAGGGCGTCACAGGTATGGCATTAGATAGGGAATTCTATTAGACGAAATCTATGGGCGCGTTAGACGGTTACCGTACTTCGAATGTCTGTTGCTCTGTTGATGTTGTTATTCTGTCATTAGGGTGCGCTGTTTTGGTTACCATATCGTCGAGGTACCGTGAAGGAGCTTATTCAACTGTGTCGGGCGAAAGATCTGGCAATATGCGTGCCCCACGAAGAAGGTGTCCCGGTGCGGACTCCAGGGATTTTTGAGGGACGACGAAAGAGAGGAGTGTGTCTTGTGCTCGACTCCAGCCTAATGAACGCCGCAGCGCTGCATCATGCTCAGACAAGCCAGTTTGCTGCCAGTCGAGTTGAAAGCTCCAAAAGTGCTTCAGCAATGTCCAAGGAGCCAAGGAGAGGAGTTGCACAGACGGAAAAGGGTGGCTTCAAGCCGGATATATTTCTATCACTTGGCAGCGATGTTGCTCCAGAAGGGAGCTTGCCGCTCCTGCATCCTGTTACAGCAGCTTCACTGTTACTGTATCATACAAAGCACACGCACTTTCCATCCCTATCAGGTTCACCTCATCTTTTTTCTGTGAAGCAAAAAGGCTAAACATACGTAAAACCGACTGTAAGACCATGTCACCTGGTCACAACTTTACGCTCAGTTCATTTTCGTTTCAAGAGTCTTATCGGGAACTCTTAAAATAATCGTTTCATTGAATGCCAGGTCAAAATGACTGAGCCCGTTACAGGCAACGCGCATGGCGCCACATTAAACGGTGGCTGTAGCAGGAGCAACAGCGGCATACTCGTTGCTGGTTGCTGCGACTATGCTAGCCAGAGTTGTCGCGTAGAAAGCTGAAATTTCGCATGATGATTGGTTTTTGTCTGAAAGGTGTCAGGTTTGTAGACAGCCTACCGATCAGTCCTCTGGTTACGAAAGCTATGATGTTGAGCCTCTTGACGAGAAGCGTGAACACCAGTTCCAAGAGCATTCCGGCCAGGGCGACATTGCACACAGCGCGCCAGTCTCCGCTTATCGCCGACTTTGCGAAGTACGCCTTTGAGGAATACGCAAAGAGAGTGGCGACGTAGATGCCGCGGACTAGGATGGTAAACTTCCTGTGGAAGTCAACACGGGGTTGTTTGAAGTTTCTTGTTTGAAGTCAAGCGGTAACAAATCTTACCAGAGAGAGCTGACATTAGTCAATGTTTGGGCAAGGGCACGTGCAACTCCACCAGTGTGGAATGGAGAGATGGTCATGGAAAACAAGAACAACTCAGTGAGGATGCCAACTGCCAATGATGCTAGGAACTGAAAGGCTGGATATGAAGCGGTTGTGGACCGAAGACTTGAGGGAAACAAAAACTAACCCGGCTACGATTTTTGCCTATTGCTTCATCAACTTCTTCAACTGTGGCGTAGCGACGTGGGAATCCAGAGAGGATTTCTCCTTGTTGCGCCGTAGCATCATCGCTTTTCTCCTCGGTCACCTCTTCAGATGCACAGGGCACTGGAAGGCCTGGAAACATCTGTTGTATGATGCCAGTCTGGGAGCGTGAACTGCAAAAGTTTCGTACCGATGACTGACGCCCCCGCTGGGTCGTTAACCAGGATGTTCAGAAGGTTATCATCGATCTTGTTCTTGGGCAGGATCACCCCGGCCTCAGGAGCCAACGCTTGACAGGCCGACATTTTGTGTGATCAATTGGGGAAGCGTATAACTACCCTCCAACCAAAAGTTCAAAATCAGAAACAATGGAGAACTGACGACGCGCAACAGAAGTGTGAGGTTTACCGCGCTCAGCTGTCTCGACACCCAAGCGCAGGCGCCACCGCTACGTATCACACATTTCTTTCTGTTCAATACGACGGAAACCTCTGGAAACCTCTACATAATTCTAANCCGCTACGTATCACACATTTCTTTCTGTTCAATACGACGGAAACCTCTGGAAACCTCTACATAATTCTAAGGAACTTTCCAAATCCTTACAACTTCGGCTCCTTTTCTTCAACTGAAGAACAAAACGTTCTTCTTCTTCTGTTAAATACTTCACCAAAACGTTTCGTTGCGTATTAAACGCGCGCATACAGATGCGCTTTTCAGGCGAATTGTTGTGACAATCGCTCGTTTCTGCTAAATGTTTCGGAAAGCTCAAAGCTTGGCGGCTAAGTAGATATTTCAAAGCAAAACTGTCCTTAGTTGAGCACTAGCCTCGAAAGTGAAACTACCTACGAGTTTTTACACCCCTAAAATTTGGATCAAGAAAATCAGTTGGTAAACTTGAAGTTAGTAGACTTCCACGACTCCCCGATTTTTCACTGCTTGGGTCGAATTTCGGCATTATTAAATGCACAACGCAAAAAAAAACTTCATTCCCGCCTCTGGTATTGCACCTAACGTGACTTCTTCGACAGCGATCGGCAGCGAGTGGGCACCTTGACCCAAGCGGCTGGCCAGAAAGCAGGCACGAAGTCCGCAGAGCATGCGGCATAGTAACTACCACATGCTTTCCAATACCTCCACTTAAATTCTACGGCTGTGTGCCACTAACTAGCAAGCGGTAACAGCCGTCCAACGCCATACTCGTCCACACAGCTTGCCTGAACGATACCAACGGAGGCTAAACAAACATTCCCATATCCACTGTCCTGAAACACAGTGGAAAAGGATCGTCTGCTGCCTGTCGTACGCGCCACATCGTATGCCTTCCGTTAACCAAAACCCGAACCAAGCTCTATGCACCGCGGAATGAGATATGCGTAAGAACTGACAGAACGTCACAAGGAGCTTCGCCTCCAATTTGATTACAATCCAGGTAAGTTGATTGATCACCAGTTCCAGTGCTGAAGCCTCTAACATTCGGAAATGGTGGCCTGAACTTGGGAGGCAGCTTTTGTCAACGGGTGCTGCGGCGGTAGATTTGCGGATAGCCTGATGGTTCGGATCAAATGTCGTCCAGCAAGTGAGAAGAAGCTCCCGTCCCAGGCGCTGGAGCTGGAAGTGCAGGCGCAGCGCCCTTGATGTACTGGTATGTCATTCGGCCGTAAGCTACGGGCGGCACGTAGTTCTTTCTAATCTTCGGCGCCTGGCTAGCCAAAATTTCGTGGTTCCTTGCTA